TGGACATACAAAACATAACCCTTGTTTTAAAAACCTTCAAAGGCTTCCTGTGGCCTACATCAAGAGAAGGCCTGCGTATTTTAGCTGAGTACCCAGCTTCTCCCTCCATCTCGCGATTTGGTCCATCTGTGCTTTCATTTCTTATTCTGGCTTCCACATTGTGTATTCCTTATAGCTCCTTGAATGTTCTCTTTTCCTCACATCCTTTACAAATGCTTCCTCCTCTTCTAGGAATACTCTTTTCAGGCCTCCCTGCTAAACTTGGCTAACTTCTTCGAAGCCTTCTCCGGTCCCCCAGGACTAGGTTAGTGTCGCTACCGCCACTTGTCCATCTGTGCCTGGCTTTGTGCTCCCCGCCCCCCGCCCTCCCCTGGTAGCTGTACCATAAGGGCTCACCATTCATCACCCATCACAATTGCCTGTTTAACTTGAGACACCTCAAAAAGCAGAGCCTGTTTCTTTTCCTTTTTTGTATCCCTATTGATAAACATAAGGTAGACACTCAGTGACTGGTAAGAATGGATGTATGGAAGAAGGAGAAACAGGACCATCTGGCCCTTTTTTGTCTCTGGGGCTGGCTTGCTCTCTCTCTCTGTCTCTCTCTCTTTTTTTTTTTTTTTGGTAACTGCTTTATTGAGATATAATCCCATACCATACAATTCACCTATTTAAAGTATATTTAGAGTTGTGTGTCCATCCCTATAAAGTCAAGTTTAGAACATTTTCATTACGCCAGAAAGAAATCCCACATCTCTTAGTTACAAATCCCTCCATTCCCCACAACCCTAGGCAGCCAGTAATCTTTCTGTGTCTGTGGATTTGCCTATTCTGAACATTTCATATAAATGAAATCATAATAAATATGTGATCCTTTGTGACTGACTTCTTTCACTTGGCATAAGGTTTTTCAGGTTCATCCATATTATAGCAAGTATCTGTACTTCATTCCTTTTTATTGCTGAATAACATTCCATTGTATGGATGTACCACTTTTCATTCATTCATTGGTTGATGGACATTTGTGTTTCCACTTTTTATCTATTGTGAATAATGTTGCCATGAACACTGTAAAAGTCTTGTGTGGCCATATGTTTTTGTTTCTCTTGGGCATATACCCAGGAATGTAATTGCTGGATCGTATGGTAATTCTGTATCTCTCTGAGGAACTGCTAGACTGCTTTCCAAGAGGCTGTTCCTTTTACATTCCCACCAGCAGAGTAGGAGGATTCCATTTTCAGACATACTATTTGCTCTTTCCTATATTTAGTGTAAATGAGAGTGCTCAAGGAAAAGGTTTTAATAGCCCTGGAGAGCTATCTGATGCTTAAGACATTCCTTCCTGCCACGCAGATCTGCCAGAAAGGCACTGGGTTTGCTCCACGATGTGTCCGAAGGCAGCTTCTTTCCTCTCCTCTGAGGAGCCTGGCCTCCAGGCCTGTGCCAGGCCTCCCACCTCAGGTCTCTCCCCTGTAGCCTAGGCCAGCTTGCCTGACCAAACCCAGGCTCCTGCTCTCTCTGCACTGGCCGTTGTTGGTTCTGCTTGACCCACTGTCAGGGTTGTATGTTCAGTTATAAAAGGCTTCTCTGTGAGCTTTGGTCAGTGGGACAGCTGCCCTTTCCAACTGTGGGAACGCCATAGTTTTGGGACTTTCTTCTTTCTTCATGTCCTGTCTCCCTGTTAAGAGGAGCTGGCTGCCCCAGATGGAAGGGCTAAGTCTAACTCTTGTCTACCAACTTAAAGAAGCCTGCACTTTGCAAAGCTCCATCTTTCAGAGGGACACCTCCTCCCAGTGCACCAGCCCCTCTTCACCTAATGGGACTTTCTGGGCATTTCACAGGACTCTAAATGTCGCTCCTCTGCTGCTATAGTCACTCACAGGAGCCACAAGCTAACTCTCCTGAGGCTTTATCCTTTTAAGAAATTCCCTCTCCAGCAGAGAAGCAGGATTTGGGAGGAATCTTAAAGTTGATTGGGAAAGACACACACAAAAACGAAAGCAGGTGTCTCCAGGTTGGATCTCTGGGAGACATTTTGAAAGGTCTGACTATTCAAGATGGGTGGGAAAACCTATGCTGTAATAATGAGCATCTGACATTTGTTTCCGGACAGTGTGTGAAGGCGTTTAATGTATTGTCTCATTTAATACAAGCCACCTGTTGTCATCCCCATGGCCAAATGAGGAAACTGAGGCCTAGAGGTCTGATTTGCCCAAAGTCCAATAGCTAATAAGTAAGAACCTGGCAAGCCTGGGATAAAAATACGTGTGCCTGTCACAACATTTTGGATTGGCCAGACAGTACGTACCTGATAAATATTTACTTGAGTGAAGCGGCCCGTGCACTGAATACATGCACCCAGTAAGGACGGGCAGGAATGAGGGTGGGGTGTCTTCCTACCTCCTGGAGAGGAATGGGCACCTGCACTTGGTGGGGGGTGGCGGATTTGCCAGGGCCTGTCTTTCTTATCAAGAAGGCTACCCATGTTATTACAGCATTCCACCTAAAGAAGCCCAGAACTGGTGTTTCTGTAATCCCAGGGGAGAAAGAGGAAGGCGCATATTTTCCCCCTCATTCTGCTGATCTGGTGTTCCTAGGGCTGACACCTACAGAAATATACCCTGCTGTTCCCCTCTCCCAGAATCACAGAGGTGGGGCCAGACTGGGGAGAAGGATGGAAAAGCAACGTGTAGTTCAGACTATTTTGGAAAACTGCCTGACTGGTTATAAGTGTGGATTAGACACTGGAGTGCCCTATTGAGTCAAAGGACCTGTTGCATCGCACGTAGGCAAAGGGGCAGAGCCAGGACTTCTCCTTGGGTTTTTCCTCCAGGCTGCCATTGCTTGGGAGCTTGTCTCCAGAGGTGCCTGTTTAAAGTTCCAGATTACCAGCTTCTTGGAGAGGAAAAATGCTTGGTGTAGTCTCATTCAGGCATCTGCTTAGATCAAATAATAGTGGCCAGGAGGCCAGATCCCGTGATTAAAACATCACCACCAGGAGCCCCCTGCCTCTGTTACTGGAGAGTGTAGCGAGAGAAGGCAGCGTTGGGCAGCTGCCCTGTGGCTCTCCTACACGGTGTGAAAAGGCTTTGTTGAGACACTCCTCCTTCACTTGTTGGGAAACTGTTCAATGAGGTTGAACTGTGTCTGAAAAATGTTCAGCTAACTCTTTTAGGGTCTCCACAGAGCTGGAAGAGCAAGATGGAAAGCACCAGGTGCAGGCCTCCCTCCCCATCACTGAAAGGTAGAGGTGTGAGAGGAATCATGTACATCTGGGCTGGGGTGAAGGTGGCTACAAGATTATAGAGATGATTAAATGACATGACATGCATATAAACACCTACCCTTGCTTGGTATGTCATCTTCATCCCCCAATAAATATTAGCAATGTATTATTATAATAATAATTACAACAACTTTATAGTTTTCATATACAGTGTCTAAACTTTGAACTTCTTTTTGCCTCGTGACTTACAGAATTAACTGGAGGCAGAATTCTAAATGACTTAACTGGCAGGACAGCCGAAGAATACCGTGTGTACTGTTAGTTGGTCACAGCTTTCCCTTTTCACCATGTGTGGTTAGAAAGCTCTGTCATAGGCTGAAGAGCGGAGCTCTTGAGGAGGATGTTGCCTTAATTCATTAGTATTCTTTTGGGCGCTTTGTCTGACTTCCTGGTACTTATTTTTCTTAGGTGGTTTGTTTCCCTGAGCCACCCACCTGAGGCTGGGCAGCGGAGGTGCTGTCTGCCGGCCCTGTTCTCACACGGGGAGCCTTGTGGAGGACATTTCCAAGTCCTCCTCGGGAGCCTGGAGAGAGGTTTGGGTATCCCACTTTTGAGACTGTGTAACCACTGCAGGCCCTTGTGAGACATATTTTTCCCCAAAGTAGATGGGCCTGATGTTTATCCCAAAGGAAAGAGCATAGAGTTAGGGATCCAGAGCGCCAGTCCCAACTGTGTCACTTGTGTGGCCTTAGTTTCTTCATGGTGTAGTTGGGAGGGTCCTGGTCAGGATGAGAGCTCGTGTGTGGAAGGGCTTGTGAAGTGCTAAGTGTAAGAGTGTCAGTGTTGATACTGTTACTGGTCTTACTAACCCAGGGCCATGGGAGTTGGTAAGAGACCCATGCTGCTGACTCTGAAGGGCCCTTCGATTGGCACTTCCCAGAGAGGATTGCTCTCTGCCTTTGTATGTTGAAATCCATCCATCGGCCTACTCACTCATCCATCCGTTCATCCTCCCATCCATCTATCATCCAGCCAGCCAGCAGTTATTTATTGAGCTCTTACTGTATGCCAAGCAGTGTTCAAAGCCCTGGGTGAATAAATACTAAAAAATCCAGCCTCTTATTGAGCATACATTCTAATGGTAGGGGGAGAGGGGAGAAAATAAACAGGGTAAGTAAGTAAAATATGAAGTACTTTGGCACGAACAGACTTGGTACTTTGGGACTCAGTGGTCAGCTTCCTGAAGCAGGTGTTGTCCTCTCTGTCTTACACCCTGTTCCTGTTGTGGCGTGTACCACACTGCTTCCCACCATATGCTATGAGCACCGTGAGGACAGAGACCTAGTGGGGTTTGCCGTGTTTCTCTGGTGCCTAGTTTAGTGACAGGCACCTGGTAGGCACAGAGTGTGGTTATCGACCATATAAAGAGGGTGGAAGTTTAAGTCATTCTATTTCATTTTATGGATGTACCATGATTTATTTAAGCAGTTCCCTTGTGGTGCTTATGTCATTGTTTGCAGTCTTTTGCTCTGATGGACACTCCTTGGGGAATAATGTTCATATGTCATTTGCACATTTGCAAATTTTTCAGGGTAATTCCAAGAAGTGGGAATACTGACTCAGGACATACTACTTTGTATTAATTTGTAAATGGGGGCAGAAAAAATGAAGCCCATGAGTGGACAAATGACCACATATAATGGGCAAGTCACCAGCGCCTGTGTTCTGCTCAAAGTCCTTAAGGTTTCTCATGTCACTTCTTTTGTTTCCGCACTAGGCTGGAGACACCATGTTCAATCGTGCTAAGCTTCTCAACATTGGCTTCCGAGAGGCCTTGAAGGACTATGACTACAACTGCTTCGTGTTTAGCGACGTGGACCTCATTCCAATGGATGACCGTAATGCCTACAGGTGTTTTTCACAGCCACGGCACATCTCTGTAGCAATGGATAAGTTTGGATTTAGGTAAGAGCTGTTCACCAGAGTCTACAGAAAATATGTTCCTCTCTGATAGGACAGCTAGGAGATGTTCCTTCAGCCCAGGAGTGCTTTTTGCTCCAGAAAAGATTGCCTCCTCTGAGAAATGGATGCTTTTTAAGCCCAAAGTCAATTTTTTGGGGGAGGAAAGTAGAGTCCAGAAAGGCCTACAACCTCTGCACATCCAGGCAAGAAGAGTTTTTAATGTTTGGGATGGCTACAGACCAATGCTGTGTTTCCTTGCTTTCTTTTCTCCCCTTCCCCGCCCAATTTGGGACACAAATTAGAATCATTTCCCCCCAGTATAGATATAGGGTTATTATGAAATCCTTCCCCGAGATCACAAGTTTTCCAGCCCTAATCTTGCTGTCTTCAAAGAGGAAAGATTTAACTGTAAATGTCTCTCTCTGCCCGCCTACCCTCCCTCTCTGTTTGTGTATCTTCTTTTTTCAATGCACAGGCTCATACCCTGACCCCTCTTAGCACAGCACTGTGTCTGTTTTCCCCAGAACCACTTAGGCCTGGGGGATGGAGTAGGAGGTAAGAAAAAGCAGCAGAGGCAGCAAAACCAGATCTTGTCAGCTCAGCTTGTACTTCCCCTAGAAGTCACTAAGAGTCTGTTTCTGTAGAAACACTTTATTATCAAAACACTTTATTGGCCTCGCCACCTCTGGTTCAAACCCTCACATTAAAGTACAGATGGTACTGTGAGGTAAGCCAAAAAGGTAGATGACTTGGCACCTCCGTGATGATACCTTATTACAGATAGATTACCTCAGATTCATTAAAGCAAGCCCCCAGGCATCTTTGCTTATGGATATTTGCAGTCAGAGTTGCTGAACGTATTTGAAAATGGTAACTGCTCCTTTTTTTTTTTTTTTTTTTTAATGTGTTCTGTATGGTTTGGCTGACTTCTCTCATTAAATCTGTTAGAGTTTTTCTTAATTTGTGTGATAGGTTTTGATCTTTCTGGATTTCAGTAGGAGCCTGAGTGTGGTTTGGAACTACACACAGGGTCGGGGCAAAACCACAGCCTTTAAAGGACCTACAGAAGGCCTTCACATGGCCCCTGCGCATGTCCTGGTTCTTAACATTTCTTATCAATATTTCCTCTGTAGCCCTTAGGAGGCCACGATTCATAACCATTAAAACACTGAAATACAAAATGGAAGAGACACTGCAGCTTAAAAATGTAGATCCACCATTCTACATGTTGCTAAGTCAGGATATGGTAGAAATTTCCAAGAAACTTATTTGACAAAATTTTTAGAAATGTTATCTTGACTATTCGAGTCAGTCCGTGTTCAAGCAGGTAGACCTTTGGAAGAATGAAAGCTAGACTGTAAATGGGGTGGGCACATGGCAGAGTGGGCACAGGGAGACTCACAATCTCAGGTTCCAGGACCTCCTGGATAAGGATTTCCGGTGCAGGAGCAGGACACATGGGAAGAGGATTCCTGACTGGTGCAGCAGACCTGGGCTTATGCTCTTGGAATTTATTTCCTAGATCACCACAGAAGTGACACAGTATTCTTAGGGGGGGAAAAAAATCTGTTTTTTGATATCCGTGTCTTTCTAAGATAATCAGAGTCCTCTATAAAATCAAAACAAAGAAAACCTTATAAATCTCCAATTAAAATGTTCTAGAAAATAAAAATAACTTGAGAAGTGGTTCTGTTTTGAGCAAGCTTTATTTTGAGGAAGTCAGAACTTACCAACCACTGGTCATGTGTGTGTGTTTTTCTTCCCCAGCTTACCTTATGTTCAGTTTTTTGGAGGTGTGTCTGCTCTAAGTAAACAACAGTTTCTCACCATCAATGGATTTCCCAATAATTATTGGGGCTGGGGAGGTGAAGATGACGACATTTTCAACAGGTAACGAACAGTCACAACCTTCTGACACTGGCACTGTTTCCTGGGTTGCTCAACGCTTGGAGAAGGCCTCCCTGACTCAGCCTCTGCCCCTATCTCCAGCCTCATCTCCAGCCACTTCCAGCCCCAGACCCGCTCACCAGTCCTGGAAGCTTGTGTTGCTCCCCGAGGGCACTGTGCTTGCTCGCCCTCCCTGCTCTGCCTATGCTTTCCGGGCTGCCCAAAACGTCCTGGCAGACGCTTTCCCATTCTTCACCACGTGGCTGTTTAGTGTTGCCCAGGTAGTTAGTTGCTTCTCTGTTGGTGCCCCACAACCCCACCTCCCTGCTTCACCTCCACCCTGCCTCTGGCAGCCCTACATTCTAAGCATCCACGCTGTCAGTTCCATGAGAGCAGACACCCCCAGAGCCTGGCACCAAATAGTCCCCAACACAAACCGGGGAACCAGTGGTAAAAAGACAGGGGGAAGGAGTGTGAGTTTAACCAGTTCCACGCTGGGCTGGGATGTGGGCAAGTGAGAACAGTAAGCAGGATGGTAGATGGGGCAACAACCCTGCAGCTGGGGCTCTCAGACCCAGGCCTTACGGCAGCTCTATAATGGTTTTGTTCCTCTCACTCCTTGCAGATTAATTTATAAAGGTATGTCTATTTCTCGCCCAAATGCTGTGGTTGGGAAGTGTCGGATGATTCGCCACTCAAGGGACAAGAAAAATGAACCCAATCCTCAGAGGTGTGTTCAGTGTTATTTGATGTTCCTTCTTCCCTTTTAGGGTGGGGCAGGCTGCAGGAAGGAGGCCCTGAGGGAGGGTTCCCTGCCCGGGGAGGAAGGGAGGGTTCAGTCCAAGGTGGGGAAGGTAACAAAGTACCAACATTTAATGATTTTTTCTTAGAGTGGTATTTTGACACCAACTGCTTGCCTTTTTTCTCCTTGTAGGTTTGACCGAATTGCACACACAAAGGAGACAATGCTCTCTGATGGCTTGAACTCACTGACCTATGAGGTGTTGGACATAGAGAAATACCCGTTATATACCCAAATCACAGTGGACGTCGGGACACCAAGCTAGCATTTTGCTACACTGATCAGAGACCTAAGAATGGCCAGGGACCTCTGCTGCGTCTCTGCCAATGTGCTGGGCTGGTCCCTCTCATTCTTTCCAGCCAGAGTGATAGGGCCCCTTCGCTCATTCACATGCCTTTCCAGCTGACTGGACGGAGCCGGATATTTTGCCCCCAACTTGGCTCGGCATGTGACTTAGCTCTGCGAGGGGTTTGTAAGTGTAGAAACCGTCAGCCTTTGGGAGTTCTCAGCATGTTCACGGCATCACACCCCAAAGAATCAGCTCTATACAGCCCCATATTTGGTGACTGTGGGACTCATTCCTTAGTGACAAACTGCTTATTTGTTGTGAAGTAGGTAAGAATTTTGCTTCCAGTCATGTACTATTACTACTTTATGCAAAATTGGAGAGTGCTGCTGAAATTGGATTGGTGTGATATTTTTTGGTTGTCATATTTTAACAAAAACAGTTTCAACTATTCTCATTTTACCACCTCCCCCCCACCTTTTTTTACTGCTATACAACTATTACAATCACATGTGTGTCTTTTCTTAGCAAAAGAGTTTTAAAACTTGAGCCTCAGACCTTTTGCCCTGATAACGTGTGAATTCCAAGGCAAATTTAGCCATCAGAGCAAAAGCCTTGGGTGCTCTCACATTCAGTGGCCTTTCTGCAAATTGCCTGATTTCTGAATGTAAAACTTTTTTTTTTTTAAATAGCAGTTTGCAGTTTGTAGTATTTTAAAGGCCAAATCCAATTCTGGTTAATGATCTAGCTTGATTTTGTGTTGATCCAAATTTGCATAGCTGTTATTAGTAATAAGTCATGGCAATTTATTTTTCCGAGTATACTCTGTAAACTTGAATTACCTATGTATTTTTATTATGTTTTAAATGTGAGGAGGGGACTGAGCATTCTTTTTAGGGGAAAAAAATTCTGTATGCTGTAGTGGCCACAAGCAGGCCCCAGATTTAGCTGGCAGGCCAGGTTTTGTGAAGAGCAAAATCACCTTCCGACTCTTGGAGGAAGGAAAGGCGTTTAAGGACCTCTGCGGGAAGGCAGAGGCCTTGGCGTCCCAGGCAGATCTCCCCACCTCCTCACCTTTGCCAGGTGGGCAGCAGGGAGGGCACCTCCCTGGACTGGCCGTCTCTCTACCCCCAAGACCTAGGCTGTGGAGCTGTAAATGACAGCAGTCAGGTCTCTTTACTGGCCTTTAGCCTGGGGAGGTGGAGGGAACCTCTGTTCTGGCACCCTTGAAGTCTCCTTGAAGTCTCGGGCAGCCTCCCTTGGAGCTTCTGCCTGTCCTACCTTGCAGGACTGGTTCTCCTTCTTCCTCCCCCTTTTTGTTCCTTTGCTTCTTGCCTGTTCCCTAAAACTTGCCTGTGGCACTCAGGGTCAAATAGACTATTCATTCTCCAGCATGAACGTGCCTTTTAATTAGAAACAGAAATTCAGCTGAACGCACCCACACTCCCACAACCACTCTGGTGCCTAAAGCCTCCCTTTCCCCCTCAGGTTTTTAGTGGGTGCCCCCACTCCAGGGAGGCTGACCCACACAGCTGTTTTCTCAAAACCCACCTCTGCTGGGAGAGGTTTAGCCTGCCTGGGGAGAGATGCATGAGGCAATTTCTACCACTGGGTGCCCTTGCTGGGTCCAGACTGGGCTAAGGACATGAGACTCAGCTGTTTAATTGCAGGGTTGACTTTTCAGCTGGTGGCAGCTGGGACCCCCACCACTGACCGGGAAACCAGCCCTCGGTGTGGAGGCTGAGTTGGTATACAGCCCCAGTTTTATCTGTGCCTTTACTGCTTTGAGCATCTCAGATGCTAACTTATTTTTTTTCCAGAAGCCTTTGTATTGATTAAAATTTATTTACCACTGCAGAAGCATTTGGGCTATGCAAAGAGTATTCCTTCTGTCAGTTCCCCATTCCTTAATAACGATGTTTATAAAACTCAGAATAACTGCACTGAGGAGTTTTGGGAAATGCAAAGAATGAAGGCCTCTCTGACCCCAGATCCTGACTTTTCCAAAGTGCCTTAAAAGAAAGGAAACAAATACCCTGGAAACTTTGTTACTTACTTTACTCTCTTAAAAAAATCATACTTAAAAAAAAAATTTTTGTTACATTTTCCTTTATGTTGTATAAGAATATTCAAGTATGTGGTTCATTCTTAGAACCAAGGGAAACCCTAGGTCATCTGTTCCTCATTTACTGACCTGGTGCTCTCATGGGGGCCACCTGGCCCAAGGTTAGGCCTGGATGCTTGCCTGGTTCATGAGATGCTCTAGGACTTGTTTCCTCCCTGGGGAGGGCAGGCCAAGAGTTCAGGGAGCATTTCCTTTACCTGGAAGTTGTCACCATGAAGTTGTTACATACTGTGCCTTTGTTTCTGTCTTTCCCATTGCTGGTGATACTGTAAAGTGGTTTTTGGAGGAAAAAAATCAGAAGGCAGAGGTGGCCCAGGAGGGTGAAGGAAATGCCGGTGCGGCTCTCAGCCTGGGCAGGATCTCTGCTGACCTCAGGGCTGGCCACGGGGCTTCCCTCGCAGCCAGGACAGCAGCTTTCCTGTCCTGGAGACCTGTTGTGCTGTGTATTATGATTTCCTGTGTGTGCAAATGTATGTATTTACCATTGTAAGGGTGGGGGGGGTCTGAATTTGGTGTTCAAAACAGAACTGTATTTTTGCTTTGAAAATCCAGTAATATAAAATGAATAAATGTCCCTATCTTTGTAACTGCAGGTGGTTCCTCTTCTGATTTAAAGGGTTTGGGCTCTCCCAGAGCTGGCAGGCAGTGATCGGGGCTGCGTGCTGGAGGATCTGAGGAAAGCAGAGGTCTGCCTCTCACGCCTCCCTGGTTCCGGGTCTCATGGCTGGGGCTGGGGCGTTGGGCAGCAGGAGGTGCTGGTATCCGCCCACACACCTCCCTGGAGTCGGCTGATAAAAAAATTCCAAGATGTTCTAAATTAAGTTACAGTGGCCTGAGAGTGAAAGTCTGTTAATGGCTGAGGGACAACTGACAAAGGACTTCTCACATTCCTGTTTTGCCTGTTGGAATTTCGGATTAATTTCCAGGTGGCCATATCTGCAGGTTATTTTGCCCAGGCACCGTCGAACTACAGGAGCCTCCGCTCGTGTACATGTGGGCTTTCTCGGCTGCTGCCCACAGCCGTTCCGCTGGAGCAGACATCTCTTTATTCGGACTCTGCTACCGCAGAGCTTGACCTGCTTCACCTTCTCCCACCCCTTGCAGACTACCTCTTCCTTTCTCTCCTCCGTACTTGATGTATAGAAACGCTTGCAAACTCTGGGATGACCGACATACCGTCTTTTCTGCTTGGCCATGCTGCTGGTGGTTGAGACTCCATGCCCCAGGATTGGTCTTCTGGTTAGCATTTTTGGCTCAATAAAACTTTATTTTAAAAAGTCCTCAAGAGGGGTGGGTAGAGGTGGAAGATGGTGTAGGGGGATAAATGGTAATGGAAAACATACAGTAAAAAATAATGTAAAAAAAGAAACATTAAAAAGACTTCAGTTATGGAAGTTAAAGATTTTTGTTTAACACACCCATTTCTCCATCTGAGCCTCATTTTCACAGAGACTTTTGAGGCTTAAAAGAGGTGAGATATCTAAAACAACGAATGTGCGGCCCTGGCTAGTGTGGCTCAGTGGATTGAGCACTGACCTGTGAACCACAAAGGTTGCCAGATTGATTCCCAGTCAGGGCACATGCCTGGGTTGCAGGCCAGGGCGTGCAAAAGACAACCTATTGATATTTCTCTCGCACATCGGTGTTTCTCTCCCTCTTTCTTCCTCCTTTCCCCTCTCTCTAAAAATAAGTAAAGTCTTTAAAAATGAATAAAATCTTAAAAAAAAATAAAACGACTGACACTTCACAGGTACTCACTACATAGTAGCTAGTCCCACCTCAGAGTAGAAATTTCCCCAGCGCTTCCCCTGGCCACATTTTTGCTATTTTCAACAAGTGCCAGAATAGTGCTGAGATAGTTGCGGGAGCCACTTACACAAGATACTGACAGTGCCACTTAATCACTAATACCCAAAATAAGCTTTCTTGGCAGCCCCAGGACATTTAACTAGAAGGTCTTGGTTGTGACCCAAGGATGTGAGACGGTAACTGCCCAGCAGCAGCCTCTTACATGCTGCTTGGATTGAACTGGCAGCTGGAAGAAATGGGCCAGAGGAAACCAGTGAGCGGGAGAGGCTGCCCCGGCTATCCAGGCTGAGGTAGCCACAGCCCCTGCCAGGCTGGAGCTGCACAGGTGGGACCAGTTGGGAAACAGGAGCAGAAAGGGTGGTCCCTTGTAGCCCTCCTTTGCAGGCCATCTGGCTGTCTCCACCCATCCCTGTGACTGCTAGAAGGATCCCTTATGTCCCCAGTCGGGAGCAGAGGTGGCCTGCGGCTCAGATCTGACCTAACAGATGTCTCTGATACTTTGGACAAAGTGCTGCCTTTCAGGGCTTTTGCAAGCTGTAAGGTTTGGGTTAAGTGGAACACCCTTTTCTCTCCGAAGATGTATATGTCCACACAGATGGATGTACACGAACATGCATAATATACAGGACATGTGCCAGTGAGAAGGCTATGATGCAGGGTTCAAATCTTGCTTCTGCTTCTTGCTAGTTCTATGACCTTGAGCAGATGACTTAGCCTTTCTGTGCCTGCGTTTGTTTATGTGTACAATAGGGATAGGGGTACCAATTTTGTAGTGTTGTTAAAAAGAACAAGTGAGTTAATACTTACAAAGCACTTACACTATGCCTGGCCCATAATAAGCATTATATATGTTACAAATGTTTGTTAGGTTTTTGGTGTTTTTTTTTAATGCATATGGATGCACCTGCTGACATGGACATATAGACAGCTCTGCACACATTACCATCACACACACCAGATAGAGTGGAGATCTTTTCTTTTTTTCTCTTCTAGGCCACATGTCTGGGGCTTAATTATGTGGCAGTTGGGCAGGTGAACCTCAGGGTAAGTTACAATTCCTCTTCTGCAGACACTCAGGGCCTTACCAGTGGTGTTTCCCCACCCCTTCCCTACCTCAAGGTGTTTGGAGTGACTGCTTTAGGGAGGGAGGGGTCTTGAACCCCCACCCCACACCCCATAGGCTCCAAGGGTCCAGGAAAGGAAGAAAGTATGAGGAAGAGGGTCAAGGACAGGTTCCCGGGGTTGGCAATTTCCTTGGAAAGTGCTGTCTCAATCTCTCACTTCACATGGGATCCCGTGCAGGTGTGAACGAGGCAGAGCTCAGCAGTCATGAGTGTGGACGTGGTAGGCACCAGATCGCCCTCTTCCCCATAAATCTTTTCCATGTGAGAATGTGACCTGGATGGCAAGTCAGTGACTTGCAGATGTCCTTCGGAGGCAGGGCTGTGGTGTCCATGTAGGTGGGTGCCAGAGGAGATATGTGAGTGCAACCGGGAAGCTGGAGAGGGTCAGGGGAGGTCAAGGAAATGAGAAGATAGCCAAGTTTCCACCACACTCCCAGGCATCCATCCATTCTCTTGTTTCTTCCAGGAGGTGGGAGTTCAGACATTCCTTAGAGCCAATTTCTTCTTAGAACTGGAACTTCTTACCCGATCAGAAAGGAAATGAGGTGTGTTTGGCTGAGTCAGTCATGCCAGACAAGCCTCATTTCCTCCTGGCAGAGTCCCCATGCAGGAAATGTGGCTGCTGATTTTGTCTGGGCTCTGGGACGTGTACCCAGGCTGTGAGGCAGAGAAACCTGCAGGACATGGTTGTCCTGAAAAGTGACAGGGTCCAGACGGGGACCAGAAGAATGTGGCACTCCAAGAATGTCTGTGCTGGAGCAAGATGTGTGCCAGGTCACCAGGCAGGGGGCCCAGGAAGACAGCCAGAAAGAAGCCATTCAGTGATTGTTACTTTGGCTTTCTCTGCCTTCCCATGCACTATGGGACTCTGGGCAAGCCAATTTCCCAATCTGAGCCTCAGTTTGCTCTTCTGTTTTTTATTCTATTTTATTGATTTTAGAAAGAGGGAGAGAAAGATAGAAACATCAATTTTTTACTGCACTTATTTATACATTCATTGGTTGATTTCTTGTGTGTGCCCTGACCAGGATTGAACTCTCAACCTTGGTGTATTGGGACATCGCTGTAACCAACTGAGCTACCCGGCCAGGGCCAGGATAAAGTTTCTGATGCTACCTCTCTCTTCCTGCCTGAGGCTCCTCCGGGCACAGAGCAGAATGTTCTCTCCTGCTCTTCCTTAGGTTTTTAAAACTCAGGCTTCCTGATCATCCCTCAGGATCTGAGGGAGAAGCACAGGAATTGCATGGGATGCCTGAGCCTCTGCTCAGCTCCTGAAAGAAGGAGGTAGGATGAAAAGGGGTGTAGGAGCCAGCTTCGCACCCCTGCTCCTTTCAGGTGGGCCATCTTCCCTGTAAAAAAAGGACTTGGAGTATCCTGACTTTAAGAAGGCATGCTGTGGAAATGCAATTCAAAATGACACGGAGATACCACTTCATAGCCGTTAGAATGTTTATTAACTAAGATAAATAGCCCTGGCTGGTGTGGCCCAGTGGATTGAGTGCTGGCCTGCTGACTGAAAGGTCACCTTTTCAATTGCCAGTCAGAGCACATGCCTGGGTTGTGGGCCAGGTCCCCAGTTGGGGCCATGGGAGAGGCAACCAGGAGTTGCTTTTTCTCCTTCCCTTCCCCTCTCTCTAAAAATAAATAAAATTTAAAAAATAAATAATAAGTTTTGCTAAAGATGTGGAAAAATTGGAACCCCTGTGCACTGTTGGTGGAAATATAAAATGGTACAGCCCCTGCGGAAAATGGAGTGG